TGGAGAGAGATGGCAGGAGACAAATCGCTTGATCATTGTCTTCGGTCCACCCTCTCTGGGGCACCTGGTGCTGGCCACTGTCGGCAGACAGGATACTGGGCTAGATGGACCTTTGGTCTGACCCAGTACGGCCGTTCTTATGTTCTTATGACTCACGTTTAACTATATAAACTGGGGTCCAAGAAGGAGACCAGCAAGCAAAAGGCAAGAAAAGGAAAAGAAGAAGAAAGGAACACCAAGAAGAAGGAGGGAAGATCTGAAAACTCACTTCCAGGACGCAGCCTCCTCTGCATGACCGTAGCCTACAGCAATTAAGATCCAGAGAGACTGGCCAACAGGGGAAGTCTGCCTGAGTCTGCCTGTACCAGGATTGGTGAGCATAACACTGTGTGCTTAGCATGTGTATTCTGCTTGTTTGGGAACTGTCAATAAATAGAGTATAAGGATATTACTTTGTGAGGCTCTTTCCATGGCTAAAGATCCTGCAAAACCTACAGGAAGCTATGCCCTAGGAATTGGGCAAGGGTGGGTGTAGAAAGTTCTGCCCTGAGCCCTTCGAATTAGTAAGGGTGGGGGTGTAAATTAACAGGATTGCACCTGGACCCCTGAAACGGGGTAAAGATGAGTGTCCCTACAGTGTGGAAGGGACAGAGTCATTAGTGCGGGAAACAGTTTGGGGAGTCCTCACGTGCACCAGCTCACGGAGGGCCCCCCGCCGACCCACAGGTAACCGCTGACATGTTCAGCCGCTACCCGGTTCCTTAATGACACACAGTTTAACATCCCTCGTTCAACAGGACTCTGGAGCGGGGGGCTGATGGCAAACCCGCAGGGCGTTCGAGCCGGCTCCGCCGCTCCAACGCGCGGCCTCGGTGACCACCTACGAATTAAGCGTTCGCTGCCTGCCCAAGCAAACGGATGCAGCAGCTCAACAGCCCGCTTTGTCCGAGAGCAAACAAGGCAGATGGGCACCAGCTCCTTAAAAGCTATTTGCCCTTCGCCTCCGGTGCTAAGCAGCCGCGTCGGTTTCCCAGTTACTGCCAAGAGAACCAGAGGCCGCAATCGGGGCCAGGTTGGACGGACTGGGCGCTGGCCAGCCAAGCACTTTAGATAAGCAAGGTTGGGATAATGCGTTAAGAGCTGCCTGTTACGGGGCAAACAGGCAAAACAGCAGCATATGGCCCCAGGGAGGAAAGAAAACAGTGTCCTAGGGAAAGGCACAAGCAATTTGCACTAAAAGGCACTCACAGGCCTCGGAGAGGGATGTGTACAAGCCTTTTCAAAGCTAATTTACCCTTAGCGTTCGCTGGGAATGGCAGTGAGGCTCCAGCCCTTCCTCCAAACACATTACATCAGCACGGGTCTGATCCATTAGCAACGGAAGAGACACACCGGCACCTTTTGGAATCAGATTAGGCTGGCAGGGAGGGGCAACTCAAATGGTCCCTCCAGCTAAATAACACAAGCAGCATATTCATAGTGAACTAGATGAGTGGTCCCCAACCTTGTGAGGGTGCCCGGGGGCGGGCCTGCACACCGGGGGTGGAGGCATATATGTGCCACGTGCCCGGGGTAGGGGCCACCCATGTGCCGCACACCCAGGGCTGACTCTGCGCATGTGCTGCGCGCCCAGGATAGGGGCCACCCATGCGTCGCGCACCCGGGGCAGGGCCGGCCCAGATCATTCGCCGGGTACACATAAATGCCCCAGCGGGTGCCATGGCGCCCATGGGCACCACGTTGGGGACCACTGAACTAGATTTTATGGGACCGTTCTGCTCCTCTGCTACACGCTGCCGGCCCCAGCACCTCGGCCAGTAACTTCAACACCCGTCCCATACACCTTCTGGATAGGCAAGTGCGTTTCTTATACAAAGTCATCCCCCCCCCACTCAGATGGCTATCCCGCCATGTCCCTAGGGCTATGTCTAGACTGCAAGCCTCTTTCAAAAGAGCGCGTCTAGACTACACGCGGAACTTTCGAAAAAGCGGCTTGCTTTTTCAAAAGAAAGCACCCAGCGAGTCTGGATGCTCTCTTTCGAGGAAGCCCTATTTACATTCAAGAACGCCTTCTTTCGAAAGAGGAACTTTCGAAAGAAGGCGTTCTTCCTCGTCCCTAGGGCTATGTCTAGACTGCAAGCCTCTTTCAAAAGAGCGCGTCTAGACTACACGCGGAACTTTCGAAAAAGCGGCTTGCTTTTTCAAAAGAAAGCACCCAGCGAGTCTGGATGCTCTCTTTCGAGGAAGCCCTATTTACATTCAAGAACGCCTTCTTTCGAAAGAGGAACTTTCGAAAGAAGGCGTTCTTCCTCGTAGAATTAGGTTTACCGCCATCAAAAGAAAAGCCGCGTTCTTTCGATTTAATTTCGAAAGAACGCGGCTTGAGTCTGGACGCAGGTGAAGTTTTTTCGAAAAAAGGCTACTTTTTTCGAAAAAACCCCTGAGTCTGGACACAGCCTAGGGGAGTTGCTTTATCCCAGTCAAAATGGACTCACTTCTATAACCGCCAGGCCTATCTCGATTCGAGATCCTGGGACTGCAATCCACAACAGCTTTAGCCTGGCAGACTGGATTCAGTTCCGGGCCTGCTCCCTCTAAAAGGAGAGGACCAGAATAAAGAGGGCCCTACAGGAAAATGTCCAGCACAAAAAGGCGGAGACGGTTTACTTCCCGGAAGCGACACAGGAGAGGGAACAAAACAGGGCAAGTACAATAGCAGATCATTAGAGCCCTGCGTGGCTACAATATTGGTATCTGCGTCCGCATCTGCAAAAATGACCCCCGGATATAAAGCGGAGAGCCACAGATTTGCAGGGCTCTACAGAGAATGGAGAGAAGAGAACTTGGAGCACCCCAGTTATCTTTCCAGAACACAAGGGCAAGAGGACATTATTCAGCAAAAAGCAGTCCGTTGAGGAGCATGGACAGGAAACGGTTTTATTTTTAGACAATGCGCACTTGACAAGTGGGACTCCCTGCCACATGATTTCAGCAAGGCCAACAGCTCAGTCAGAGTCACAAAGACAGGTAAAGAGGGTGGCCAAAGCTACCGTAGGTGGAATTAAAGAAGAGACTGGAAAGGAAAGAAACCTTCCTGCTTCGGGGCAGACACTAATCACTAAGCGAAGGTGTCAGAAAATGCCTTTCCAAGCAGGTTATTCTGTGATGGCCCACTGTAAAGGTGGCTTGTGCTTTCCTCTGAAGAAGCTGGTATGGCTTCCACGGGAGACAGGACATGTTGCTGGCTAAGAAGAGGAAGGATGCTGCAGTGGTTAAAGAACGAGGCTGGGGCTTAGGAGATGTGTTGATTCCCCGCTCTGCCTCAGGGTTCAACACAGTGGAACAATTTCAAAAGCATCCAAGTGAGTCAGGAGCCTAACTTCCATTTTCAAAAATGACAGAGGCACAAACGAGTCCAAACTTCGTCAACCCGGAATAAATCACTTAACTGCTTTGGCACATTTCCCCGTTGTTGCTCTGTGCCTCAGTTTCCCCATACAATGAGTATAAACAACCCTACCGTGCATCACGGGGGGGCTATGGGGATAAGCACACTAATCTGGGAGGTGCTCAGATACTACAGTGATACGGGTCAGACCCTGTCCCGCAATACCAGTGTTCCCAGTCAGCGTGATACAAAAGTGTATGGTTTTTCTTAATGGGTAAGAAAAGAAAAATGCTCCCATTTGAGCTACTTCTGCAACTGCAAATAGAAAATGCCAGCAGTGCAGACCTGCAGGAATAACTGTCTGCTGATGAGGAACTAAGTCAAGGTCTGATTCATTCACTCCAACAGCCCACGAGGCGTCTTTGCTCAGGCGCTGCGTTCGTCTTCTGGGGTCAACACTCTTGGGGAAGCGGAAACCAACACCGAAGGGCAACATCATCCCAAAACGTGGGGGAATCAGCCACAAAAATAAACTGGGAGGGGGAAAGAAGAGACCCTGCCCCAGCAAGCCTAACTTAGATAGGGCCACGATAAGGTGGGTGCATAATTGGCTGGATAACCGTAGTCAGAGAGTTGTTGTTAACGGTTCTAAATCCTGCTGGAAAGGGATAACAAGTGGAGTTCCTCAAGGGTCTGTTTTGGGACCCGTACTGTTCAATATCTTCATCAATGATGTAGATATTGGGATAGAGAGTACTCTTATTAAGTTTGCAGATGATACCAAACTGGGTGGGGTTGCAACTTCTTTGGAGGATAGGGACATAATTCAGAATGACCTTAGCAAGTTAGAGAAATGGTCAGAGGTAAACAGGATGAGGTTTAATAAGGAGAAATGCAGAGTGCTCCACTTAGGAAGGAACAATCAGTTCCATACATACAAGATGGGAAGCGACTGTCTAGGAAGGAGCATGGCGGAAAGGGATCTAGGGGTCATAGTGGACCACAAGTTGAATATGAGTCAACAGTGTGATGCTGTTGCCAAAAAAGCAAATATGATTCTAGGTTGTATTAACAGGTGTGTTGTAAGCAAAACTCGTGAAGTCATTCTGCCGCTCTATTCTGCACTAGTTAGGCCTCAGCTGGAGTACTGTGTCCAGTTCTGGGCGCCACATTTCAAGAAAGATGTGGAGAAATTGGAAAGGGTACAGAGAAGAGTGACAAGAATGATTAAAGGTTTAGAGAACATGACCTATGAAGCCAGGCTTCGTGAACTGGGCTTGTTTAGTTTGGAAAAACGAAGATTAAGGGGGGACATGATAGTGGTTTTCAAATATCTAAAAGGGTGTCACAAGGAGGAAGGAGAAAATTTGTTTCTCTTGGTTTCTGAGGACAGGACAAGGAGTAATGGGCTTAAAGTGCAGCAGGGGAGGTTTAGATTGGACATTAGGAAAAAATTCCTAACTGTCAGGGTGGTCAAATATTGGAATAAATTGCCAAGGGAGGTGGTGGAATCTCCCTCTCTGGAGATATTTAAGAACAGGTTAGATAGACATCTGTCAGGGATGGTGTAGACGGAGCTTGGTCCTGCCTTGAGGGCGGGGGGCTGGACTCGATGACCTCTCGAGGTCCCTTCCAGTCCTATGATTCTATGATTCTACCCTGCAATCGGAGGCGTGACTGCACCTAAAACTAGCAGCTGAGATGCAGCGACATAGGGTTCAGTGTGGGCTACCGCCACATTATCACATTAGTAGCTTGCATGGGGTCCAAGCGGCTGCATCTTCGCTGCTCACTGTATCCACTCTCGCTAGTTTCAAGCAAGTGCAGGGAGACAAGCGGCCATCAGACCTGTTCCTGCAACGTGAAAAAGCTTGTGCCCAGCTAGAGGCAAACTCACTGCTATTGTCTGCTCACAGCGTGACCGTCAGAGATTGCAAGGGGTAATTCACAGACACAGCAACAGAGCTACACACAGCACAGGCCCAGCAGGGGGCTGGAGAGGGTCCAATGAAAGGTGGTCACGGACCTACTATTCCAAGCCAGGGCGGTATTCAGCCCAATTGACAGCAGTGCCCACAGAGATCTGTGCTGAGACTGGAGCCCACTGTGCCAGGCACTGGAGAATGAGGCAATTAGGCCCAGCAGGGGGCTGGAGAGGGTCCAATGAAAGGTGGTCACGGACCTACTATTCCAAGCCAGGGCGGTATTCAGCCCAATTGACAGCAGTGCCCACAGAGATCTGTGCTGAGACTGGAGCCCACTGTGCCAGGCACTGGACCATGAGGCATTTCCTGCTGCAAAGAGTGGACAGCAGAAAGAGAAAGGCTGGAAGGGGAAACTGAGGCAGGGAGCAGGAAAAGTGATTTGCCCAGGGTCACACAGCTGCTCAGTGGCAGAGCTGGGACTAGTTCACCTTTCCTCCTACCCGACGCGCTTTTGGGCATCTTATCACACC